CGCGCTCCTCTTCTACCGGCGCATCATCTGCGCCAGCGGGAAGCGGGCCATGGGGAATATGGGTCACAATCGTGATTCCGTGACCTTTTGTTTTTTAATTTCTGGTAGGTTTTTAATGTGGCACGCACCTCTCTGTGCTCTGGGATTGCTTCTATGTCTAGTATTGCACTGATTCGTCCTAATTCCTGTACGGGCATGTTATTTCCGACTTCCTCTCAGATGTTTGGATCCCGTCTCTCCCCGTCTGACATGCGTCAGCCCTCAGTTAGTTTGGAGTCCCTTATTCGTCTGGCTTTTCGCTGCTGACGTACACATCATGTAGGTCTTGTGTCCTCATACAACCAAACTGTCCATCATAGGCGTGTTTCTTTTGGCCCTTGTGTAAGTACACCGATGACATGCGACACACACTTGGCTGCAGGTGGTTTGCTGACCTATGATTCAGTGGTCTCGGTGCGTCAATTGCTCAAGTGGTGTAGTACATCAAAAATCGAGTCGGGAGGACCGGAATATCTCCTCTTCGCCGCTCAGGCTTTATCCCCGAATTATTCTTCCATACCACGCTTAGCGACGGTTTATTGTACAGACGTGTAGACAACCAGCGGCCAACCAAAACTACTTGGAAATGACATGATATTAAGCAATGATCAACTCCTTACAATTCATTCTGTTTATTATACTAGGAAGAATAGTTCAGATTGGACCAATGAGAACCTAGGAACTCGTTTTACGATCCATGCAAATTGGTTACTAACAGCTTCACCATCATGTGGAAACGGCGCAAGGATCGAGTATTTTATTAAGTAAAAATCGCATCATATATGGGGTTCCCCAGGAGATTTGTCTTAACACGGACTTCAGTGAGCACATAGATCTCAGAATTCCCCAAGTTATGTATGTATAAGGAAGCTCTTTCTGTCGATTAGTCCCATGATCTATGGTAGCCAAACATTCGCACTGAAAACCTGTGGATACTATCCTGGAGTCCCCAGGTATTGAGATACAGTCAAGTTCCGCATTCTCCCTAGCGTTTGCTCAAGCACGTCTTGCAAACAGGAATGAGTATTGTCTCCACTGGATTAAAGCAGAACTCTTCGCCGATTGACACCTTTCAAAGTCAAAGATACGGACGTCAGGAACTAAACGCTTCAATATCTCGCCTTTACGTGGGTAGGTAGGCTGGAAGCCAACAATGGAATGTGGCGCAGTTATGTACGATGGTCGGATCTTAGCGAATACTCTGCGGCTTGTTATGTCTAGTCCGTACTGGGATAGTTCAGAAAGCTTGTTCAAACCAACGGCACTATCCGCTGCGACAAAGTCAAATTCCATTGAACTGGGCCTCAAGGCCCATAGTAGAGGGTTGAGATAAGGCCCACATGATATTTTAAACATTTGCTATGAATTATAGATATTAGTAGAACGTTGGTGATATGAACAATGTCCTGCGTCCGCGAACCAAGACAGGACATGATTCGGTCACGCCCGACCTTCCTCAATAGGGGTAGATCGTTGATTCAAGCTTCGCAGCCCCATCGGAAAGGAATATGCAGTAAGCGGAAACCATTACCAAATAGAAAAGCTCGAATCTCATTCGGTGTCGAGTTGGTGGTTAGTGCGACGAAGCTAAGAAATTTATTCGTCTTCTAGAAGATCCGCAATACTACCAAAATAACCGTGTCTACCGCAAACACAGAAATACCGTGATCTCATAACAAACGTCGGTGGCTTATCATTGCATATCCCGGTATTCCCCCGGGCAGGTAATAATGAGCCTGTACCAAGAAGGGTCGATGAGATCGGTGGTACCTAAAAGCCGCAACCATACCTATGTTAGGTGCTGCGCGCAACTCTTCGTGTGATGATGGAGCCGTGGTCAGACCACGCGATCCCCCGGTCATCTCGGTATTGCAGAGAGAAACCGCCGCTTACGAGATAGCCACCGGCTAAGTGCCAGGGCGAAACGTAATACAAATGGGTCCATCACTGGGGCCATCGTCATGGGCAGTCCTGTTGCCCACATAGGGTTCACCCTACGGTCTGTCCGCCTGTCTGTGGAACTCAGATTCTATTTGAGCAGCCTCTTCCCCGTCCGAGCACAGGCAATCTATGAAGTAAGAGATTTAAGTTCGCGTCCAGTCGGAGAGAAGGTAAAACTCGATCGATATTACCTGGGACCCTTGGCCAGCATACGACTGTCTGTCAGTCTCAACCCACAATCGACAATACGTTCCGACTGAGTCAGTCTACGAGTTCAACATCATGGACACCAAGGAGAAGAAGCTCGACTCGAGCTTGCCGCTCTCTTCTTCCGACATAACGCCGGCCAATGAGGAAGTCGGTCAGGTCCGCGATGTCACAGGGTATGAGGCCGAGAAGGCTGCCATGGGCAATGCCCACTTCAAGCGGTTAGGATGGAAGCGACTCACGATAGTTCTCATCGTCGAGGCCATTGCTTTGGGCAGCCTGAGCATGCCCGCAGCCTTCGCGACGTTAGGGATGGTGGCAGGAACCCTAATTAGCGTTGGCATAGGCTTCATAGCCATCTACACCAGCTACGTCGTCGGCCAGGTCAAGCTCAAGTATCCCGACATACACCATTACGCCGACGCCGGTCGTTTGATTGCCGGCCGGTTTGGGTACGAGCTGATCGGCGTCATGTTCGTCCTGCAGTTGATCTTCCTCGTTGGATCACACTGTCTCACGGGCACGATCGCGTTCCTCAACATCACCGACAATGGAGCGTGTTCGCTGGTGTTCGGCGTCGTCTCGGCCATCATCCTCCTGCTTCTGGCTGTCCCTCCCTCGTTTGCCGAGGTCGCAATCCTGGGTTACATCGACTTCGTGTCCATCATGGCCGCCATCGGCATCACCATCATCGCCACTGGTGTCCAGCGGACGGATGCCGGGGCGAGCTCCGACTGGTCCGCCTGGCCGGCGGAAGACGCCACTTTCGCTAAGGCGTTCATCGCCATCACCAACATCGTCTTCGCCTACAGCTTCGCCGTGTGCCAGTTCTCCTTCATGGACGAGATGCACACGCCTCGGGACTTCGTCAAGTCCATCTGGGCGCTCGGCCTGATCGAGATCGTCATCTACACCCTGACCGGCGCCTTGATCTACTCCTTCGTGGGCATGGATGTCAAGTCTCCCGCCTTGCTGTCCGCCGGCTCGCTGGTATCGAAGGTTGCATTCGGCATCGCGCTGCCTGTCATCTTCATCTCGGGGTCCATCAACACGACGGTCGTGGCTCGCTACATCCACGGTCGCATGTACGAGAACTCGCTTACCCGGTTCATCAACACGACCAAGGGCTGGATCAGCTGGCTGGTGCTCATCACGGTCATCACGATCATTGCGTGGGTCATTGCCGAGGCTATCCCATTCTTCTCCGACCTGCTGTCGATCTGCTCGTCGTTGTTCGTGTCCGGTTTCACCTTCTACTTCCCGGCTATATTCTGGTTCATGTTCGTCAGGGAGGGCAAATGGTATTCGAAGGAGAACATATGGCTTAGCTTGCTGAACGCTTTGGTCTTCATCGTCGGAATGGTCGTGTTGGTAGGCGGGACGTACTCGAGCATTATCGATATCGTGAGTTCACCCTCCCCGGCTATTTTACTCAGTCGTATGGCTAGTTTCTAACATCGTGTTGCAGATTGATGGGTATACGGTGGGTAAAGTTCGAGGTGCGTTTACCTGTGCTCCTTTCGAATAAAGACGGATCACGATCTGGCTGAGCAGACGCGCGGTTCTGAAGAGAAGCCAACGATGTTATGACTTGATGAAACCATCAGAGTCACATCTCTCTGCCAAGCTAGGGTTTCCCCTTGTGTCATCTTCATCTCCGTCTCGTCGTTACACTAGAGGGCGCCGCCGCATTGAGTTTTAGATAGGAGTCATTATCATCACCGCGATAGAAGCTAGTTAGCACCCTTAGAGCTTGGTTATTGTCCGCTGAAGAAGTTGGATTATGGTTACCATGCCTTAGAATTGCCCTTTGCATTGCGACGGCGTTGTTTTAAGCATAGTAGCAGTGTAACAAATCTGACCTTCACAAGCCTATCGCGCTTCTGGTTCCGTTGTACAGTCCCGGTCGGCTAATGAATGTTTTCATTGTGAAGGTGATACCTAGAGAACTCTTTTTTCTCGCCCTACGGTGTCACAAATCCCGCGTTGAATTATCGAAGGCCTATAATATTGCTACTACTCTCCATGGTAGCCCATCTACCTATCAAGCTGAAAGAAAAATTTTCAATTCAAATCCAGTAGGGCGATTCTTTGCCTTGTGACCACCCTTATCTTCCTTCAGATGGAGTAAGCCTTTCGCCGGCCACTTTCACTCCTCTACTACTTTTCAGCGGCCCATAGCAACCGTAAGAAATAATAGTTAGAACGAAGACCTGAAGCTATCAATATTTGTTGTTTTCAGTGCTACTTAGTGTGAATATGATAACGAATAGTGGCGACGGATGTAGCATATATATGTATATATGCAATAGAATAAAGCTAACGGGGCGTAGACCAGATGAACTACCCTCCCCGATGATACCACTGAATATTATATATATTCGACTCCTGAAGGGTGTAGAAATGTCGCAAGTAATCTATTTCAGGGCTGTTTGGTGCAGGGGGCGTGGGGGTATATAATGATCTGTTGAGCAGTAAAGGGATGTAAACCAGCCAATAATAGTAGCCTTCGAATACAAGAATGCGACAAGATATCAGTCGATGGTTCTCCTTCATACCATTGTCATACGTGAACAAGCATTTTAAGATTATGACACTCTAATTAGTGTGTTCCATTCTCAACTCTGACTTAGTCATTCGTTCAGAGCTAACCAAATACACTCAAGCACCGATACCTAATAAAGTGTGTTAGAAACAGCTGGCAACCTTTTTAGTCGCACAGACTACTAATAACAACGGAGTTAATAAGCTTAACGAATAAGCTTATGGTGAATTAACGATTTTAGAGAATGATTCCAGCGCAGTCAAGTTAGGGTTGGCTAGTGTAACGGTTAGCACGGCAGATTTTGAGCACTGGAAACACTATCTTCGTATGCCATTGGATGTTGTCTTCTGCAAATCTGGGTTCGATTCCCAGGCCGACCTGCATATAGCGGATATAGGGATACATGGTTCTCGTCCGACTTTTTGTGCCGATGTATGTTTTTTGGTTAGGTGCATATTGCATACACACGGGGATAATAGCGATTGATTGATATGTTACATGGATGTAGGTAGGAGGGTGGTAGCAATTTTGCTGATTTATTGTAGTTTTTGGTAGGTTTTGAGATGCAAGTCTATTTTTGTAGACTCTTCTATCTAGTTGTAACAGTGAATTTATACCTCTTTCGTGTTGTCTCGTTTAGTCTCCTAGAAAATCTACATATATCAAGTGAAAATTCTCCTTTTTTGTCCCCAACCCAACGCCAGACCAATGCGAAAGCTATCATACCCAATGAATCGAATCGAATCTCACTTTCGAGTTGCAGCAATGGCTTCATCAAGGATATCTAACCCGCTCTTGATTTCCTCGTTGCTCACGGTAAGGGGCGGTACGAATCTGAGGGTGTTGGTTCCACAGGTGATCACCAACAACCCCCTCTCCCTAGCAGCCTTCACAATCGGGCCTGGGTCCTGGGTCAACTGGACGCCTAGAATCAAGCCTTTACCGCGTATTTCAGTGATGATATTGGGGTATCTCTGTCGTATCCGCTCAAATCCCTCTTTGAATAATTCCGACTTCGAGAGCACGTCCTGCTGCAGCTTGGGGTCGGATAGCCGCGAAACCACGTAATGAGCTAAGCGGCAGGCCATGGGATTGCCACCGAAGGTCGTGCCGTGGTCGCCAATCTTGATCTTGCCACTGACATTGCCGTTGATTACGGTAGCGCCAATGGGAAAGCCATTGCCGAGAGCTTTTGCTGTTGTAATAACGTCGGGATGTGCCTCCTTGGGCAAGTGACTATGGGCCCAAAGAGCGCCAGTCCTCGAGAGGCCACACTGGATTTCGTCGTAGATCAAAACGGCTCCAACTTCCCGGCATCGCTTAGCGAGCGCGATGAGGAACTCGTCGCTGGCGACATTGACACCACCCTCGCCTTGAATCGGTTCAATTATCACGCCAGATGTCTTATCCGTAACGAGTTCATTGATTGCCCCAATGTCATTGTACGTCCCATATCTGAAACCAGGCAGCATTGGCGCAAACGGCTCTTGGTATTTCGGATTCGGCGTGGCGGAGAGGCTCCCCATCGTCCTTCCGTGGAAGGAACCGTGGAAGGAAACGATGTCGGATTTGGTTCCGGTCGTGTCCAAGACCTTTCCAACCTTGCGAGCGAACTTGATGGCGGCTTCGTTTGCTTCGGTGCCCGAATTGCACACGAATACTGTAGCGGCATCGTGCATTGCGCCGGATTGGAGGGTCTTCTCGACTAGCAGCTGGGAAAGGGCCCCTGTCCAAGGGTTGTAGTAGAGGTTAGAAGCATGCCATAGTGTTTGGGCCTGGGTGGTATAGAGGTTAGTCAGGGGGATTCGCAAGAATTGGTGAAGATGAAGATTTATTAGGTAGAGAGATAGATAGATAGACAGAAAGACTGATGGATTGATAGATCGACAGATCGATAGATACGCGACGGGAAACGGTTCTTAGTTCTTACCTGGTCCGAGAGGACCTTGGCCAGGCCGGGGTCACTATGGCCAAGCGCATTGACGGCAATACCAGATGTGAAGTCCAAGTACTTGCGATTCTCCAAGTCCCATAGATACGAACCTTCGCCTTTAACAAATACGGGGTTTGGTCGCGCATAGGTGGCTAACATGTACTTGGAGTGTTCCTTTACCAACGTCGCACTCGCAGAATCCTCAGGAGGGTCGGGATTTGGGAGAGATGCCTCCCTCGAAATGGACTGTTGCGCATGTTGCGACAGGTTCGAGGACGCGGCCGTTGCTGCTTGAGACGATAGACTTCGACTCCGTACGCCTAGTAGTCGCCGGATAGGAACCCTGGAAGCCATTGATACCTAGCTACAGCTATAGAGCTATAGCTGTAATTCCCTGACAAAGACCCAAATTGTGAGCGATGAGGGATAAGGTTTAGTTACTTGGTTAAGAGAATCTGCCGGAAGAGACTCAAGAGTCAAAGACTCTATTGCGATCGGTAATTTATCCTTATCGATAAGACTATAGCCTGTATACCCTGTATTTCTGGCCCGATCTCGCAACTCCAAGTCTCCAACAAGTCTCCAGAATTAGCAGCCATAATATGTACCCCGCCCCACTGCCCCGCCGCTGCCCATCGCTCCCCATCGAATTGAGGTCTCCAACCTTGTCTGCCTGTATTCCGTACGTACTATGGGCATATCACGTGCTCCGAGACTCAGACCCTTTTGTAGATTACGTACACATAGAATCTCCATCCTCAATCCAACCTCTTTTTCAAACCCACCTAGGCTACAGTTGCCTAGCTACTCCTACATACTTCCAATATACACTTATATGTATACCTAGCGTCTCTAATCTACATCTCACCCACGCAGCCATGGATCTGGCTGTCAGTTTCTTCGGGAATTGCCTCAAGCGAGAGTCCGTTATAAATCTGTGTATTATCCACCACACGGATTATCGGATTGTTGAGCCATCGTGCCAAAACACCACACACAACATGCACATCATACGTATGGATAAGCTTTCGTTCCTCTACACGCGACATTTTTCAGGAACAGTACATTAGATAGCGGTAAGGCTAGGCTGTTGACTGGTGTTAGGATGGACGCCGAGGCCATGCTTAACTGCTACCAATAGCCTTCGTCCAGACTATACGTACTAATAACTGTCCTCGGAACTTACGTGGAAGCATGTGACAAAGACTAGTCTAACAGCCGCTGGAGGTAGGTTCCGTCTTGTCATGCAGTGTGGTGCATAATACATACGTACAGAGCTCCCATTCTATATGCACATACTACTAAGACACGTTAGCTCCCATACAATCGTCTCGCCCCTGATCATCAGCAGCCGCGGCGCCGTAAAGTTACGGATTACACTACTAGCAATAGCCGCTAGGTTAGCATTATGAAAATGGCCAGCCAGCAAGGCAACAAGGAAATACGGGGTCGGGGTCACATTCCAAAGCCCTGGCACTGACACCCAGCAGCCCAGGACTGGGTGCGAGTCAAGTCAAGTGTGGGGGAAACGCCTGCTGATCACCTACTTACTACCAACTTTCACATGTCAAGCTAAGCGCTATGTAATGCGCCCTCGACGCAAACGTCACTGAAAAAAACCGATAGGTCCAGGGTTCATAGCCATGTTCCATCACAAGCCACCACTCATGAGCTCTCGGATTCAATCTCGTCCTGGCAGCTTTGGTCAGCTTCGTCAGCGACGCACAATGTCTTGCACTTCGGCTTAACTCCGTAATCAACCATCCCAGCTTTCGGTCCTTGTGTCACGAATCAACCCGTCTATCTATTCTCTCTTCCCCCCTCAGCCTGCTCCCAAGTTCACGCTGGCATTCCGTCGTCCCGGCTGTCCTCCCTCGCTCGCTCTCTTGACTCGATCCTCTCTGTCCCCACGTCCTTCACAAAGAAAGATGCGGCAACTCGCCATCCGTATCGTTTCCACTATCACCTCGTAATCTACTTCCGCATTACTTTGACCGCCCCCCCTTAGCTGTCATTTGTTCATATTCCATGCTAAGGTCTTAACACACAAACAGTTGTTCTCCATGGTATGTAAGGCTTGTGTTCTCGTTGCACAAGATGATAGATCACGTCCTCGGGAAACCTTCTGTAAAGTCGCGCAGGCTCCAAGTACTTGCCGTGTTAACATTCTGGTCTTGCTACCTGTATAAGTGAGTCCCTCTACGCTGCGTCATCTTCCCACCATGCAATAGGCTAACCATCTTTTAGGGGAAATCGACACGGCCCGCCCCTTATCCGATTCCTATCGAAAATTTCCTCCAAGGCATTGACAACATGGCAGACCGTCGTCTTCACCATGATGTATCTATACGCAGCCCGGAACTTCAGCACGCTCGTTGGACTAGCTAGCCCGGAGCCGATGGCAAATATGTACGATGCGAAATACTTTCGAGCTACTTGGGTCTTAACTGCACTTGATGCCGGCTTCTGGACGGCCATGAAGATCAGGAGGAGGTGGTTACGGGACATAGCCAGCATGGTGTTCTCTGTATTCTACCTGATAGCGGCTGAACGCGCCGATGAGAAAGTCCGAAAGGTCAGAGGGATGTTGACTGTCGACCATTTGCGGGTCAGCTGGAACAAGGGAACAACCCCATATCTTCGGGCTGTTCAGAACTTGATGCGGCCCCGATTTACGCGCTGGCCGCCACGGGCAATTCGCATTCCTAGGCCTAGCACGAGCGACTACAAGGAGCCTGTCTCGGGTTGGCTATATTATGACGGTCCCATCATAGATCTGGAACACATCAACAAGATGATCCTCGATATTCCTGGAGGCGGTTTTGTCGCCATGGACCCAAGATGCAACGATGACAAGCTTTTCGCCTGGGCAGGGAAGACGGGCTTGCCGGTGCTTAGCCTGGATTACAAGAAAGCACCCGAGTTTCCCTATCCGTATGCCCTTAACGAGTGTTTTGATGTGTATACTACTATTATCAGAAGCAAAGGGCGATGCATAGGGATGTCAGGACTCGAGATTCCAAAGGTGGTGGTCACCGGTGACAGTGCTGGTGGTAACCTTGCAACCGCCATGACTCTAATGGTGATCGAGAGCGCCACCACGAACCGGCGCCCGTCCCTGGTCCAAGCAGAGCTACCAGTCCCAGACGGCCTGGTGCTCCTCTACCCCGGATTGGATATGAACATTGGAAACTGGATGTCTGATGAGCAAATGTCTCTTGTCGAGGATCGGCGAATGCGAGTGACAAACAAAGACTACCTACGTCAGAAGAGCAGGCAGTATGATGATATAGCCAAGACACCTCATCAGTCGGGCGATGAGGATGAAGATCCATTCAATTCTATACCTACTATAAAATCATCGAACCAAGATGCCGATGAAGAGCAGCACGGGCTTCGCAGCCCTCAGCCCGGGTATTCGCACGCCCACCCCCAGAACTGGGCGAA